AAACATCAAGAAGATAAGGACTCCAGTCTTGCTTTCTCTCAGCATAGCTCAGTCTGCCCTTGTAAAGGGTGTTTGGTTATTCCAGCCTATCCCACTTCCCTTATGAGTACCCTAAGAAATTTTAAGAACGTAATTCATTTGGAAATGCCTCTTTACCTCCCATTCTTCCTCACGTACAAATTCCATCTGTTGTTTCCTTACAGGGCAGGCACTGACGGGCCAGTGAACTGGAGCAAAAATGAGGACCTCTATTCCTCAGAGACAGAGAAAGTGCCAATGAAGTCTGTTTGCAGTAAGGCAAGTACCAAGAACTTTGGTAACTAGAGGTATAGCTATGTTGAAGCATACCTGTCCTGACTTTGTGACTGTGCCTCCAGAACAGGACACAGAGGCTTGCTGGCTGGACCAGACAGTGCTGACCAAAGGGCAGAGGTGGACAACTGGAAGCTCTTTAATCTTTCTACACTTCCTTCTGCTTTCCAGGTAAATAAACTCTTTCATCTCCATACTGTTTTTATCAAACTCCACCACAGGCCCAGTTCTGCAGGTGAAATACGCAGGGGTTTTTTGGAAGCTCAGTGACTATCTCTCTGCTAGTCTCACTTGTTCAGTGGCAGTTGCCAAAAAGGTTCATGATTAGCATGCATTGCTGCTTGTTCCAGGGCACAGTGATACAATTCCAGGTTAAAAGAGAGAAGCTGTAATGTGTCACTAAGCAGGAGACCTTGAGGAAACTTCTCGCCACAGTGCCAGCTGCACTGGGCAATCCTGACTTTGATTTCTGTTTTGGCCCAATTCACATCACCTTGGTTTAGTGTTTCTCACATTCATGTGGGCTGGGGATCCACCTTTGTTCCAGTTTTGTGGAATTCTGTGCTCTAGTTATGAATATGCTTTAGATGTTTGGGAATCGTATCTACTAAGGCCCTTTTTGTCTTAGGTTTTTTTTTTTTAAATCCTGGGGGAAAATTACCTTCCTGGCAAATAACTGGCATTGCTTTAGATACGGTGAAACGTGATGTGGCTTATATCAGAAACTTGGTGAACTGGAGGCTGTTTTTTGCTTTTCTCTTCATATGTTGTAGAGTTGAAATAATTACTGGTTCTCTGTATAAGATGCAGCCCAATTCCCTAAAACGTGACCTTCCTATTTCTGGAAACTTCAGCCTGTGCTACACGTACTTGGAAAGATTATGTGATGAAGTCCAAATACACATTGCTACTGTGGACCCCGTGAAAACAACTAAACCTGCTCTCTCTGAAATCTGTTGGCTTTGATGTGGATTGAATTGGGCCTTAAGTGAAGGAAATGGCTCAAGAGTAGTACCTTGAAAGAGACCCTCCTGCCATTAGTAGGCTGTTAAGAAGGGAAACCTGTAACACACACACACAGAGAAATATTGTTGCTTGCTGTAAAACAGGTTAAGTTAAATAAATGGGACACTTTAAATTGTAGAACAGCAAATATGGATGAAATCTGAAGAATGAACTGCAGCTGTTGGATACTTAAATTATTACCCATGCAGAGAGACAGTTTTTCTATGATTTGTCATTATCAGCGTTCTCTCACAAAACAAGCATGGCTACAGATAGCTTTGCTTTAGTAATGATGAAACAAAAATAAGAAAAATTTTATCATGATAAAGGCATAGGATTTAATGATGAAACTTTAAATGTGAAATTGGAAACACAGCTTGTAATGTAAAATGTTTTCTACGTGGAAAACCTGGGTTTATCCAAGGACAGATTGACCACAAGATTACTGAATGCCAGTGGCAATTACAGCTTTAATGGATAATGCACTGGGCAGATCCTCAGCCTCTGTAAACTGTCATAGCCCTGACAAGTTCAGAAGAGACAAATTTACAGGTGCAGATCTGACCCACTGTTTCTTTTAGTGGGAAAGAAAATATAGATATATATAAAAATATATATATCTAATTAGCCATCAGCTTTGTGTCTTTATCTGGTAATACATCAACCCTGGTGTTTCTGTCTGTCTGTTAAGAATTGAATGAGTTTAGACACTAAATTAGAACTGAACCCTGGTCAAAAAGCAGGCCTTTTAATTTTTAACTTCCATGCTTAGCACACATATTTAATGTGTAAGCAACATGGTTGTTCATTCTAAATTACACCTTTAACAGCTTTTCTCATTGCTTGCTTACAGCAAAAACCAGGCAAGCAAACACATCTCAAGCTGTATTTTGAATTAAAAGCAGAGTTCAGTGAACAACTGTATTGCCTGTGATCTCTCTCTCTAACCTTCTAACACATGTAATATGCATCTTCTCAAACCTGAAATAACCAATTAAAAATCCCTAGATCAGTCAGAAAAATGATCAGCTGACATTTTAGTCAATAGGAAGCTGAGAGGGAGAGATGTATTGCACCGGCATGGACAACTCTGGATGTAGTTGTGGGAAAGCCTTGAGGTGTTTGAATCGGATCTTGCAGCTCTAGTTTCACTGAAGTCCCATTTGATGGTGTCCAGCTGGATGGGGTCCCATTGGTTGGATGATGAGGTGCCACAGTAAAGTGAGAAAAAAAAATTTAGATTAAGTAAATGAAGAACAGTATTGTCCTATGCTGGCTTCCTAGCGACTATCATTCTTCAGCAGTGAAGCATCTGGGCTGATCAGTTTGTTTGTCTCTGAATGCAAATTTTGTCTTCTGAATGCTCAGAATAATGGGTAGGGAAGGCTGACCCACTGTCCCGGCATGGGGCATCCCCTCACTATCAGCTGCATCTCCACCATTCTTGTTTGAGAATCCCTCTTGCCCCTCTGGTAAGTACAGATGTGTAGAAATGGTGGTGGTGAACAAAGCAGAAAGACAGCACATCTTCTGGCTGCTGGCTGTGTGAGAGTGAAACACAGGTAGGTGCCTCCCTAAGCCTGTATGCAGGTCGCCCCAAACAAACAGTCACAGAAGAGTGCACCTAGCTCCCAGTCCGGGGTTGCAGCTCCCAAGTGCTGTTTGCCCTGTCTGCGTGTTGCAGGGGTGTGAACTGTTTTAAACAATTCCCTTTCTAATTAAGTACGGTCAATCTGTCTTGGCTTTTCAGGCACCCATCTGTACAGAGCGGATCTGCTTGCTCCCCTCTGAGGATCCCTTCCTTCCCTCCCCATCGGCGTTGTTGGGGGATTAAAGCAGCGGCGGCCCCATACACAAACGCAGCTGGTTCCGTTTGGTCAGCCTGAGCCTTGCTGTGAAACCACGACAAGAATTCCAGTAAGTTGGCAACACTGAAACACAAAGAAAACAACAATAGGAAAAGTCCTTCCGTGCAGAAAGGAATGTTTCAAGCACTGTTCTCCTACAGTGAAAGGAGAGAGGGTAGGAGGGAGGAGAGAGATTTGAAGAGGGCAGGTCCCCCCCCTCCCCCGGCAGCTCTGGATCTTGTGATGGAGAGATCTTATCCTCTCTTTGTGATTCAGAGGTGCCAGGAAGCTAATTGAATATTCTGATCTGCCCCCAGTGTTTCTTGTGGCTTGACCCCGGTGCTGTGTCGTACCACTACACCAAACAGCCCTGAACCTGCATAAATCACAACCGTGCAAAAGCCTATGCTCCATATCTTCTCCCCCTTCCCGCCCCCGCGCCCCCTTTCTATCCCGATAGATAGAAAACCTTTACGGAAAGGTTTAGAAGGATTAGCGTCCTACAGGACCTGGAGAAAAATCACAATCTGCTGATAAGCAACAACGTGTTCCTCTGCAACTTTTGCAAGAATAATGCAGGCACCTCTATCCCTTAACTGAAGTTGCAGTCCATGGCAAAAAGAAGAAGAGTTAATGCTTTAAATATTGCTTAAGTTCTGTTGCAGCATCAGCAAACACCCATTGGCATTAAGGTAGCGTAAACAATAGATGGAGTTCATAAAGGTGGTGTCGTTAAAATTAATCTGGCAAAGCTTCCCACAAGACAAACGGACCCATCTTTCTCCCATACTATGTATGCACAGTAGTCATTGTTCACATGCATGTGTATGTGTGCAGACATACAGAGAAAGGAACAGCTTGGCATAACTAAATTTTCTACATGGAAGACTAAATGATTTAATTTCACACAGTTTATGTATGATGCTTGTGATCCTCCAAAATGTTTGTCCTTTTCCCAAGAATGCACTGCAGCCTGAAGTATTAGGGTATCTTTATCTTTTCCCCTTTCTACTGAGCACTCTTCTACCCTTGTGAGTAGGTATATGATTCCTGAAATGGCAGCAGTTAAACACAGCAGACATTTCATATGTGCTGCACACGCTGTTGGAGAGTTAGAACCAGAGCAAGGTGTCTCAAGCTGTATCTTAAGCATTCACAGCCAAAGCACTTTACCAAACTGATTTTATCTGCTAAGAAAGCACAGAAGTTTCATCCCTGCAGTTTTCCTTTTGCAGTATTTATGCGAATATAATATAACAACAATAATAACAATAATAATAACAATAATAACAACAACAATAATAATAATAATAATAATAATTTCTAAGCTTTATCCCCCGCATTGGTAAGTAGGTGGTGTGATGTTTTTCAAAGTTGTCAAAAATACTTTTCTTGTCTGGAGTGTGCCTTTGGGATGCTAAAACCTGGTACATATTTCACTTGCAATCTGAAATTCCCCCGATCTACCCAAAATATGCGGTGTAGCAGCAAAGGTCTCTGATATAAAGCAAAGTGCAGGGACTTGGAAGCATCTTGCCTATCCTGCAAAGTGTGGAAGGAGGGGCAGAGGCAGCCTGTGGCTGCAGGGCCTGGAGCAGTGCCTGGTTCCCTCATGCTAGTTCCGGGGCCGCTGGGTATAAAGAGCTTTATGCAATGTCTGGAGGGTGGGAGTTTATAGAAAACGCGATGTCTCAACAGGCGAACACGCCTTTCTTCTGCAACTAGCAGGATAAGAAAAAGACACCAGGCTCCTTGTGCTGCTGCTGTGCAGATCAGCACCCCGGAGTCGAGGAGCCAGCTTCTGAGGAAGCTGGAGCATCCCAGCCCAGATGGGACCTCGCCATGGGATGGATGGAAGAGCAGCAACTGCTTTCAAACTGCTCATATTATTCACTGCATGCGTAATGCAGGGCAGTTGCCAAGGTAAGCACTATGCTCCAGCCTCTCCGGAATGGGACTTGCACTGCAAGGAGCACATCCCTGTCCGGGAGACTTCTATGAGAAATAGGACAAAATGCCTGAAAGTAGAGGGTTAACGGGAGCCAACTGAAGGAGTTCTTTCTAATAGCTAGGGGAGACAGTTCGCTCTTTCCAGGAGTCATTTGATGGAGTTGATTTCTGTTGTGGAAAAGGAAGTAGCGCCTTAAAAACACTGCAAACACCGCTGGCTTTTTAGCTTCACTTCAGCTTGCTTTTAAATTATCCCAGAATGATTTTTTTTTCTGATTGATTTCTAGTTTGTACAAACTTCTTTTGTAGTTGTACAAGACAGCAACACACAAATGTTGCTAAATTTGAAGGGACAGCTCAGACTTTGCAACTCCACGATCTGAACTCACAGTTTTACAGAGATGCAAGGGGCAACTTCTCCTGTAGTGAGTAGTGCTTACTGGCTGTGGGTAAGGTAAAAATAATCATAATAAAAAATCACCCTAGAGCTTTTGCATTTTTCCCGTGTGATCTTTGTGCCTCTCTTGCTCCTGAAGTGTGGGTGGTTTTTCAGAGCAGAGTTCACCTGCATTCCAAGAGCAGGTTTGGTGACCACTAAAATTGTACCTAGAGTTGTTTTTGATGAGGAGTGCACAGGCTGGGGCACTTGCACGTATGCGGGTTGTGCCAGTGGACAGGCTTGCATACGTGTGGTACACGCAGCCATTTACAGAAGGCTGTAAGAAAGAAACAGATGCTTAGTCTGGAGCACAATAAGCTCCCCTCAGTCGGTCTCAGACGCAGATTTGAAGTTGAGAGAGGCAGAACTTTTTCTCTGGGCTTTGCTGTTGCTAGGCGACAGCGGGGAGCATGTGATGGCCGAGCAGGCTGAGTGCCGCTCCTCCGGTGCTAATCTGGCTGCTGGGGATGGAGCAGCCCTGTCTCCAGTCCTCTCCCCAGCCTGGGACTGCCTCCCGTCCCTTCCTGTTTCCCGCTCTTCGCACAGTTTAATTGCCCTGCAGTGAAAATTTAGCCTGTCTTGATGGAGCAGGAGTGGCTGCAGTGCCTTTCTTTGGCCCCGTGTATTGACCCGGCAGTCTCGCTGGGTGTGTGTGTGTGTGTATTACGTGTGCGTTCAAATTGTTAATCTGCTTTCTTTGCTCAACTCTTAGTTTAAGCTCCTTAGACAGAATCAAGTAAGTAATTATACAGCAACTGCTGCTAGCAGCTCCCACTTACACGGAGCAGGGAA